CTAAATGTGTTTTTCCATAAACCCTCCTAGCTTTGGAGTTTTTTGGTTGTTTTGATTTTTAAATTACTATTTACAAATGCTTATTTACACAAAGACTGTCACCTACCATGCCTTTTAATTCTAAAAGACTAAAGTAGCCTGCTTGTCTCCTTCAAATTCTCTTAATGCTGCTGTCACTTCCTATCTGCAGCGTGCTCATCCTGTTTGGGGGGAAAATTTACCGTAAAGGAAAATATCTGAGAATATTTCTGTGTAACCTGATGTCTTTGGCTTCTTGTTTTCCTCTGATGAGACCAAGGCTCCTGATTGCTTTGTCCTCTTGAGCTGTAGTTCCCCCAACTATTGTTTCGGTGACACTAGACAATTAAGATGGGATTTACCACAACTATCATGCAAAGCTAGTCTCTGTGACAGATGACCCTTTCCACAAAGGGTAGTGCCAGTAAACCCTGCTCCTGTTCTTTCACCATCAAGTCAAGCACTAATCTAAATAAATTGGGAAAAATACTGAAGCTAATTTGGGTAGAATACTTCCTTGCTCTAGGCTGGGAATGGGTTAGGTTTGGGATTACCCCAATTTTTAAAAGAGTAACAACAGGAATTATATTAATTTTGCTCTCAATCACTCTTCTGTGCCTTTAGTGCTGTTGGGTACAAAGTTTCAGACTAGCACATAAGATACAGAAAGGAAAGAAGTAATACAAGAACTACAGGGTACAATTTTAATAATACTTTAAAAATACTTTTCAGTATGAACTCTGGAAAAATGCTACAATATAAATCAACTAAATTCCTTTAGACTTTCAGGGCTAGTTCAATGTAGACAAGTTGCTGATTAGACTGAAAGAAAACTGTTTCAGGGGAATTTTGTAAATCTTCTCTTCCTTCTTCTCTACCCTGTTCCCACATCAGTTATTTTGAGTATACTGGTTCAAATAAAGCTGCTCTGCAAATTTTAAGCTTGAATTTTTTGAGTAAATGTCCACTTCATTTCCAGGCAGGTCATATTTTTCAGGTGAAAATTACAATCTCTGAAATGTGCACATGGCTTTTAGGTTTTATGGACTAGCTACTATATAAACCTTAAATTTCTAGTGATACTTCTGAAATGCAAGAATTGCTATCTGTTGGGCTGCAGTCTCACCTTGGGGAGCAAACAGTTTGCAGTGAGACACCTGCAGCAGCAGAACTGTTGCCTGTCAAATACGTCATGGCTTAATGCTTCTCTGTGCCATGCAGATGCATGCAAAAAAAACCACTGAGAAGAGTTGGCCTGAGCTTGCATTTGGGAAGTGTGGGGATTTCATCTCTAATGCCATAAGGGATGCTTGGTAATAACTGTTAAAAATGCTAATTCTTCATCTTCAGCTGTTTAAAAATCACACATTTGAGCCTGTTTAGTGTGGTGTCACATTTTGTGAAGTTCAGTTGCAATACTGAGCAAAAAATAGAGCCTCGAGAGCTAAAGAAAGTTTAGCAGATGCAACACATTCAAGTCTTTTCTGAGCTTATTATTGCAGTACTTGGAATATTTCATTTGCTAGCTAATCATCTTGTATTTACTTCATATAATACGTGGGGATGGTCTTGAACAGAAGATGTTGAGATGCCCATGTGAGAACAAAAAATGAAGCAGAGATGTGCTTCAGACAGGCTGTCTTCAGTGGAGCTCCCTGAATTGTGCAGTAACACACACTTCTTCCTCTTCCTCATCACTCTTCCAATGAAACTAAGTCTGTCTCCTTCAGTGATTTGGGCTTCCAAGCTGCTTTCCCATTCCTCTACTTCCTTCTCCCTTGCCTTCTGGCAAGAAAAGCAAAAAACCCCGTAACTGCACTTATGAAAATGGGAAAAGGAGAACATGAATTAGTGAGGCCAGTGCTGCCAATTCCGAGGGTGAGGGACTCAGGCTTTAGTGTCACATTGTAACACAGCACATAGAGAGTGCCAAAGAGCCACTGGGGCTCACTTGAGGAAAACAGCGATGCAGCTGTGGCCCCTTACTGCAGTCGCTGGCATTTACTCAATTGCTTCAAGGAACTCCAGTTCACAGGTTTTGAAAGTATTGCAACGTAGTGGCAAGAAGCAGACACTGTCACACAGCTATACTGTGTACACTGCAATCTCCTCTAGCGGGGGTGCTTTCTCCATTGGTATTGCTTTTTGGTCACTATGGAGGGTGTCTTGGAGGAGATGTAATGAGGGAGAAAACTAGGTCACTCACCACTAATCTGCTTCCTCTGATGTCCCTCTCTGTGCCTGGCTGACTGAAGATGTTACCATAGCTCAGCATCTAACCGTGGGGTTGCTTCTCTGCCACCATGTCCTGCCTTTAGCTCTGTTCCTGCCATTGTGGCAGAGGCTGTGGCAGGGTAAGAAAGACTTCTTTTTCTGGAAAACTGTCAGGTGTAGCACATAACCAAAAGGAATTAATAGCTGTATATCTGGAATGGGATTTCCATCACATCACAGTCAGCCAGTTACTGTTATGTGCATTAAACCCTATTGTTACCTACAGTAACTGTTGTTTTAATTCCCTCCTTAAAGGAAAAATACTGTACTGGAAAGTTAGTGTGATAAAAAAGGTGAAGAAAACCTGCTGTATCTCTGTGAAGAGCAGCATAATGTAGTGCTTTAAATATTTTAAAGATAACAACTCCTATGCTATTGTTCAGTTTTCATTCCTTCTGTCACATGACCTTACAGGTCCCTAGCTTTGCTGTCATTTCACTTTTCCTGAGTCTCTTATAAACAAATAAATAAATTGGCCTCAATAAGTTAGACTTTAAATGGCAAGGCAGCCTTTATCATTCATGCATCATTGATCTGTATTTCCTGGAGAGGGCCTGAACAGGAAAACCAGCTTAAAGGCAGTAGAAACTGGAAAGAGGTCACCATCTATTTTGTCTTTTCTAATCTTCTTTTGTGTTTCTGTGACTCCTTGAAAAGCAGTCTGTCCTCAAGACAGTTGTCTTCAGTACTAACATCTGTATTCATAATCTAGCAATGCTTCATGAAGGCATTCTAAAGACTCGAAGGGGAAGGGCTACAAAATAGCCTTAGATGCTACTGAGCACCTTAGAAGACCTGACAGCTGCTTCTATCTCAGTTAAGTCTGTCTCTGTCAGACCACTGTATAACCTAGACACATGCTTTGTGGCTTTGGAATTATTCAGCCAGTTGTGAAATATTATCAAGGAAGAAAAGAAAACGAGAAGGAAATTTTCTTCAGAAGAGAGATGCCAGCCTCTGTAATGTAATCTAATTTATAGGGTACTAGTGTGAAAAAAGGTAGTGAAGACACTGGGAACTTATAAGTGGTAACAGCAAATGTTCCTGACTACACCTATCTGCTCAGTCCTGTAGTCTGGGATGCTGCCAACAGAGCCATGTAAAATTTATCCCAATCCCAGGCAGAAGCTAGGGCACACCCATGGTGATACCTCATTTGTTTTAGCAGAAACGCCCACACCTTGGGAATCACAGGACTTGTCCTACTCTTTCACCTCCCAAGCCAATTCCTGCAGCCAAATATTGTTTATGGCAGAGACAGGTCTGTATGATCCTGCCTAGGGGCACTGTGTAGTCCCCTGGACTGTGTTTCCTTACCGGGAGAAGTCAGGCACGTGGCCTGCTGGTACACACTCAGCAGGGAGCGTGGCCCAGCTGCTTTGGTCTGGCCCATACTTCTGCATCTGCCCAGTTCAGAGGGTGTTCTGGCAGAGCTAAAAGTAGCCCCAACCTCACGGGGCTCTGTAGCACACACTCTCCCACTGCACTGTGCAGTTCCCAAAGAGAAGCAGTGTCCAAACAGCCTGATCTGTTCCCTAAGCAGGGAATCTGCTCCTATACAGCTAACATTAAGCAAGTAAGTCTCTTTTTCAACCTGTTGCAATCTTCCATTTCCTTGAAATTAAACAAGTATAACTGAACTTGACCATGAAGGACCATAATTGCTCTGTGGGTAATACATCAATAGTATATAAGCAAACACAGCACACCTTTGCTTACATATTAATGGTTCAATCTACTCTTAATAGGCAACAAAAACTACAGTTTCTTTTGGAAGCTGATCTGGGCAAAGGTGTGGAAGTATATTAGAAGAGGCTTGGGGATATGAATTTTTTCTCTTATTGACAACAAGGAATGTCTTCAAAGACAGTGATTCTTCTGAGCTCAGCAGTGGTGAGGCCACACCTCGAGTGCTGTGTCCAGTTCTGAGCTCTCCATTCAGGAAGGACATTGGGGTGTTGGAGCGAGTCCAGAGAAGGGCAGCAGAGCTGGAGAAGAGTCTGGAGCACAAATCCTGTGAGGAGGGGCCAAGGGAGCTGGGGTTGTTTAGCCTGGAGAAAAGGAGGTTCAGGGGTGACCTTACTGGTCTCTAGGACTGCCTGAGAGGAGGTTGTAGCCAGGTGGGGGTCGTGGTCTTTTCTCAGACAACTCATGACAGGACAAGAGGACATAGCCTCAAGTGGTACCAGGGGAGGTTTAGATTGGATATTAGGAGGAATTTCTTCACAGAAAGAGTAATTAGACACTGGAATGGGCTGCCCAGGGAGGTGGTGGAGTCACTGTTCCTGGAGGTGTTTAAGGCAACACTGGACGTGCCACTCAGTGCCATGGTCTGGTTCATGTGCTGGTGTTTGGTCACAGGCTGGACTCGATGATCTCAGAGGGCTTTTCCAACCTAATTGATTATGTGAATGTAAGCAGGGAAGGCTTTGCCTTAAAACCCCTTTCTGATATCGCAATCTCGTGTGACAAGTGAATAATCTTGTACATCTTACTTACCAAGCCCCGGTTAGCGAGGTGAGCCCAGACCGGGCCTGAGGCGGCCCCGCGGTCCCTCACGTCCCTCAGGGCCGCTGCCGCCCGCGGCCGCCAGGGGGAGCGCCTTTGTCCCGCCGGGACCAACGGCCCGGCTAACCGCCACACCCCGGGCCTGCCTCCCGCCCTTCCCGCTCCCGCCCCACCGCCGCCCTTTTGCTTTCAGTTTTTCCCAGCTGAGAGCTGGCGGCCTGGCCCGGCCATGGAGAACGGCGGCGTCTACAACAAGACCACGGAACCGGAGGTGAAGGCGCCCCGCCGCCGGCCCTTCGGCTTCACCCTTAGGCGCCTGTGGGGATGGCGGCTGCCGGTCAAGGTGGTGCAGGCGGTGAGTGCCCTCCTCCCCTCGCGGTGCGGGACGTGCCGGGCCTGGCGCGGAGGGAGCATCCCTGGCAGGATGACTGCCCGGGACCGGGGAGAGGGGAGAGACCGAGAGTATCCCGGGGCTGAGCCCGGCGGGGCGGGGGTACCCCGCTCTGGGATGGAAACGAGCGTGTTGTGATGACCTTCGGCTTCAGGACGGTCCCCCGCCGCTTAAAAATTAAACTCCTGGGTGATCCAGCGCAGGCTCGGGAGATGGCCGCGCACAGGCTTCGAGGGAATGGATTCTGCCGGTCGGAAAGGGCTGGCTCCGCCGGGAAGGTGTCCTGACTTAGGACGTGATATGGGGTGACTGAAGTTGTACAGACTCAGGTGGAAAGCTGGCATAAAGGTGCCTTATAATGCAGGTTCAAAGTGGTTTATGGTGGGGAAGTGGTGGGAGTGCTCCTTCTTGGCGTCCGAGCTGCAGCAGTGGGTGCGGACATGGGATGGTGCCGGCGTCGTGTGCCCGAGGCTCGGTGCTGCAGCCGCCGTGGTCCAGCTGCCTGCTGCCTTAAACACCACCCGCCCTGGCTCTAAATCAGAGGGAAGCCTCACAGGAAATTTAGGGCTTTCTTCTGGGGCCCGGACTGGAAGAAAATAGGAGGAAGAAGCCTTTGGTTGAACCTCACCATAGGGCAGTAGAACTGGGAAAGGCAGTGCTGGGTCATGAGCTCCAGACCTTCCTCTCTTGCTGCTCCTGCAGCCCGTTCTAAGTCTGACAGTCTGTGCTGTCCATCCTAAAATTAAGGAGCCTATTTCTCCCGTGGTTTGTGAAAAATTGCACCAGAAACCTGTACTAACAGTGGCCCACTGCATGAGACATCACTTGATGTCAGGTAGCCCTGGGCCCACCAAGAAATAAAAGGCTTATTTTCTGCTGGCTTTTTTATTATATGGTGCTACTCCTGAATCAAGCGGTTGGGCTCCTGGTGTAAGGTCCTGTTCACTGTTTGGTGATGGGCTCTTCCAAAAGGTACCGATGTGACTGCTGATAAGGATGTGAGGAGCATCACTTCCATGTACTGGCAGGGAATGAGTGAAACCCATGGTGGTAAAGGGCAGCTCACTGCAAATGTATGTCAGCGTGCGTTTTGCAGCCAACACAGTGGCTTTTTAGTCAGATGTGTCATGCTTATGGGAATTGTAGGTGATTTCCAGCCCTTTCTCATTACTTCACCATTGCAGAAAAGAGGACATTTAGGTTTTAAGCTTCATCTCACACACAGTCAAAACCCTCAACCAGAAATGTAATACTCTTTACCATTCATAAAGTGGTAACACTGCCAAGTTTTCTAAGAGTGTTTAAAAAAATCACACCCAAGAATGCTTTAAATAAATATAATGGAACATAAACTTTTAATTCATCTACTGGAGATCATTAAAGCAAGATCTGCTGAGTTCTGTTCCATGACAAGCAGAATGTTTATATAAGCAGGTTCATTGATTAAAATAAAATAAGTGATTATGTAGGCAAATTTATTGATGGTGGGTCTTAAGCCTTAAACTGTTTAATTATTTAAAGTGCTTTCTAAGTAGAAAAAAAAGAAGAATAATCATTATCCTAAACAGGATGAATAGCTGCTTGACATGTTCTTAAATAAGTAGCAGTTTATGGCCTGCACCCATTTGTCAGTGAGAGGAAAAAGAAAATGGAGTTATAGTTGTTCACCCTCTTAATTTCCAACATTTTTCCCTCATTTTTTGTGACCTTTGTCAAAATGCACAGGTCTTGAGGTCTCAGTCAAAACACTTTAAACAAGCCCCAGAAAGTCCTGAAGATGGAAGCCTCAGTCTCTGCAGCAAGAAGGTTCCCATTCTGGGAAAGTGTTGATTTTTGGAAATGCCAGGTCATTAACATATATTGGCCTTGTGTTACAGTAGTGGTTGTTACTGGGTTTGTGCCCTGATAATTGCTTGTGTGGACTGCTAAACAGGGTGTTGCAATCAGAAAGTGAGCTCTGCTCATTGTAGAGGTGATCAAGGGTTTTTTATAAAATACTCTGAAATCACCTGCAAAAAACTGGCTTCTAGACCTAAGAAATACTTTTCTTCAGATGAATAACGTCATACACTATAACCTTAGCCAGTTCTTTTGAGTAAATGAAACAAGGAAAATGTGACTGCCAAAAGTCACAAATGTGAGTGCCAAAAGCATGCTGGGAGGCATGTTATTGCATAGGTTTCTAGGATGCTGTTGTTTTATTTAGTTTTGTTTTTTTAATAGGTGGGGTGTTTTAGTTAGTCCACGACTGGTTCAAATTCTGCACAAAGGTAAATGGCACAGTGTGTATTGTGCCAAGACTGAGGTAGAAACTAATTATTACTTAAATCACGACAAGTTGCCATCAACTATTATTTAACTTTAGTCAAAATTCCCTAGCTGGAAAGGAAAATTGTAATTCAGGCTTAAAAATCACCTCCTTTTGAGCTGTTCATGTTCTGTAGTAGCCCAAATTGTGCAGACTTAATAGGGAATTAATATGTGCACCTATCTGAAGGAGAAGATTTTGTACTGGGAAGCCCACTGCCGAGCATCTTCACAGGCTTGTTGGCAAGGTCATTTTTATTTCTGTAGCAATTCGCTTGTTAAATTCTTTTGTAGCAATTCACTTGTTAAATCTTCTTTACAAAATTGACATTTGTTTAGGAACTTCCAACCCTAATGTCAGTGTCAATGAATAATTTCTTGCTGGTAAGAGACAGACGAAGATGTTTAAATTCTGGTGCACAGACAAGACATACAGACAGGACTAATAACAAAATAAAATAATTTCAAAACAACTGCTTTTCCAACAATGCTTTTGGTGTTTAAAACTATTTTTTTTTTGTGGCAGTAGTACAACAGAGGAATCCCCATTTTTCCTGATAGTGATATCAAAGAGCAAGTTGAAAGAAGAAACCCAAGCAGAGCTCTCTGGCATCTTATAAATACATTAACTTAATCAAAGCACTTACTCAAAAGTTCTTCAAGCCAACTTCTTTTTAAATTTATGTACTCTATTTTATTACTCAACTTTTATTAATAAAGAAATTGAATATTGACTTGTACAAGTCCCACACAGGATTCTACTTGCTAAATCTCAGTTATTTGGCACTGAACCTTTTGTAACTGAGTGGGATTTTTTCAACTTGTTTGTACACTCAGTGAAGAAGCTTTTTTCAGTTATTTGGATCATATTATGGTTATCTGGACATATACTTTCTTTTAAGGACAGGTTTATTTTCTTTCTGTTCTGTTTCAGCCCAAGTGAAAATGATGGCATTCAGTTTCCAGTGCTTATAAAAAGAGAGACATTTTCATGTACAGTGCTATCTCAGCCTGTGAAAAATGTGAAATTGAAAGTCATTGGATGCAGCTATAAGCACATGTTTAGAAATGAAAAAAATAACAAAAACCCAAACCATAAAAACTGGGAAGTCAGAGTTTAAAACGTTCCTGGACTGACATTGTAGTTTATTGGTTTAGGTGCAAGGGCTGCTGAGAAGTTTGTGTTGCCAGCCACTGTGGGAGAGAAAGGAAGCATGTGGAGGCCTGATAGTAATACTGAAGTTACCCAGCTCCCATTTGTCCCCTTTCTGAGCTCCTGTTTACTTTATATTGTTGCATTTCCAAAACACGATTCTCTGAAGTGCTCTTCTGAGACCTGACTTAGGGGAATTTACACTTCCTATTGCTAAATTGTTCTTGTTTTTACTGTGAGAAAACTGAAATTGAAGACTAGTGGTTATTTTCCAAGAACAATTCTGAATCTTAAATTTAGATTTTTTTTAAACAAAGAATTATCATCCTCTTCATTGCCCACATACTCTTACTAAAAATATGATTGTTATTCTCATATCAGTCTCAGTTTTATGACCCAGTCTGATTCTTACTCCTGGCTTTGTTTTAATTTGGTGAACTCCTTACTATGAGGCTCTATAACGCTATGCCAAGTTTATGGGGTGAAGGAAATTAGCATGAAGTCGCCAAAATAAGTCAACAGTTGAATAAAAAAATATTCTTTCTGGTACAATAAACTAGTAGAAAATCCAGGAGCAGGGATATGGTGACTGTACAGGAACTAAGTCACGTTCTTTTGTCAAAAGACACTGTGGCAGGAAGATGAAGATAAACCTCTGCATAGATTAAACATTGTCCAACCTAGCTTGAACATAGTCTGAGGTTTTGGTTCCTACAAGAACAGTTGAGCTTACGTCATTACTGGGTCACAAGCATGTGAATGTCGGGTTCGTGGACTTTCTGTGAAGTTCCATCAAGTGAAGTAACATCAGCTGTGAACTTGTAGGGAGATAGCTGAATGTGTCAGTGCTGTCCAGTTTCCCCCACTGCCCTGCACCCAAATACATTCAGAACTGAGTGCAGCTGCATGTAGTAAGCAGTAGTATTTTTGCAGGACGTGTTCTCCACACTGCCTCGTCTGCTTCTAACTGGAAGTTGCACAAAACCACAAAACAGGAATCTTGTCTTTCTAATCAAGAAGCCTCTGTTTGCCTCTGTGTTCAGTTTACCTGAGTGTATTTTTTATCAACCACCTTTAACAGCCAAGTGTGAACCATGTCATTGTATAATTATTTCTGCCTGTAAGAAAATAGTGCAGAACTTCACTAAACTCTTTGTAGATTGAGAATTTTTGTCACTTCTAGCTTTATTAATCTTCTTATCAGAGATGTCTGTTTGTTGAAGATGTTAAAAATTTAATCCAGCTCAAGCATGTTATTTGTTTGCAGATTTTCTCTTTAGTGGCCGTTGTTTGTGAAGAAATTGTGGACGATTGCAGCTTTTGTGGTGGACTTTACTTCTTTGAATTCATAAGTTGCAGTGCCTTTCTTTTGAGCCTCCTGATTCTGTGTGTGTATTGCACTGATTTATATAAATCACTGGGGGAAGATAAAGTGCAGAAAATGGTAAGAAAACTTTTTGGTTTTAAGCAAACCATTTATTCTAGGTGCATAAAGTCTGCTGTGGAGTAAAAAGACTAATGCAAAATGAATCTCATTTTCTTCTCCATGTAAAAGGTAGATTAAATTATCTTATATGAGCCAACTTGGACAGTTTATATTGACATATTTTTCAAAGTTGGCTACCTGCAGGATCTTAGGACTTGTGTGGAAAAGTCTTTCCACATTAATGCTACTAATACTACAGCATAGCCATCACGTGTATGTATGTATATGGAATACAGTTTACTGCTAGCCTGATGCTTGCAATTTATCAGTTTACCTTCTCTGTTTTCCTACTGGGTGTAGAGTACCTCCTTTTTGGCAATAATCGTAACTCATTACAGTTTATGGCTTTATACTTCAGAAGATCCAGCAGTGCAAGAAAGTAGCTCTGTTGAGTTAGTAGGAACATTATTCCATCTCACAAATGTCCCTTCCTATTTGCCTTCAGAGCAAGCAGTAGGGTCTTTATGTGAGGGTACAGATAAGGGAGTGTAGTAAAAGGTTTGAATGAGCACATCTAAGTACAGTGTTCTAATTTCCCAAATGTTTCACGTAAGGAATAAAGCCACCATGGTTGTCCTGAGCTTAAATTTGATTGTGAAGAAACGTTAGGTGAAATTAAATACTTAAAAAATACAAAAACTGGGCAGACTCCTTTAAATAGCTGATAATGCTGTTTAAATAGCTGATAATGTTGAATGTCATTTGGAATGTAGTTGTAAAATGTATTTTCTGAAGCTTCTATTAGCATCAAAAATCAAAACGAATTCACAGGCAATTTAATTCAGCTGTTGTTATGATGTTTGTTCTTTTTAGGTAACCTATTTAACCAATTAAATTGCATATATTTTTTAATATATATTTGCAGAATTTTTGGGCTGTGCCAGTCATAGGTGCCTCGTTTCTGCTAGCATCAATAGTATTTTCTGCAACGTGCTCTGGCTCTGCTGTTGAAAGTGCTGCATGTGTAAGTCTTAAAATGGCAAGATTTACTTTGTATTTATCTGGTATGTTAATTTCTCTGCCCTTTAAACTTCACTCAATTTGCAGAGAAGAAACTGGGCAGGGAATAGAACTCAGTGCATTGTGATGTTTTAGGAGGAATTAGCTATTTCAGACCTTCCAGAATCTTACCATAGGAAATCCAAAGAGCTGGCATTCCTCAGGATTACTGGAAAGCTCTGTGTGCACTTGCAGCTCCCCACCTTTTGCCTGCTGCCTCAAATTTGTATTATTTCCTGTCATCTCTTGCTGTTCAACATTGTCATCTCTTGAAGCTTGCCCAGTTCTTTGATATCCTACTTCTGAAATTTCTGTTTTTCCTCAATTGTCCTTTCATAATGTCACCCCCTCACAAAGACATCAAGAAATCCTGTCTTTTGCTTTTACAGAGCACATGTGGACAACACTGACTTGCTGCAATAAGAGCAGCAGCTTCCTCAATGACAGAAATAGTAGAACAACTGGGCATTTTTCTCCCAGGGAACACTGAGGAGGCTCAGGGCAAGGCACTGAAGGGACTTTTGGGATGCTGTAGATGTCATAATTCCCTAGTCATTTGAGTACTTCTTTTGAGTAAGCTTGGAATTGTGAACATATGAGTTTAAAAGATCAAATTCTTGAACGAGAAAAAATTATTTGGAAGTGAAAGCAAGATAATTCCCTTCCATGGGCAGCATCAGCTATTAGAGATACACACTTTTGGTATAGTCATCTTACATGGTGTAGATATATTTAGACCTAGTAGTTTGAGCATAAATCAAGTTTCACCTTTGCTTTTTTTTCTGGTGTAGGAAAAGTAAAAACTACTGTGATTTAATACTTATTAATGTCAAATTACTTTGGGCCAAACCAGTTGTGTAAAATTTAGGTAGAGTTAGAATAATGCATATGTTTCTTGCCTTATTTGAAAAAAGCTGCCTTCTCTTTCCCATTTCTCATCTTGCCATGACTAGTAATGAAATGATGTTCACAAAATGTCATTTCATTCTCCCTTGCTAACCCAGGCACTGCAGATCTTCTCTTCCTTCACCTTGCAGATGCTATTCTTCTTCATTTACTCTCATTAATCAGCAGCTTTCTCTTGGATAGATAGTCTGCTATATGCTATGCTATTTTAATAGCTGATTTTGGCAATGAAACTAATATACTTTTACTATTAAAGTTTGATTAGAACACAGTAGAAGGTCCACACTTGATTAAAAGAATGAAAACTGTAAAAAAAAACTTCAGCAATGAATGTGCTAGAATTATGATTTCTGATCTGTCTAATTTAAATTGAACTATCGATTTAAGGAGGACTCTAATCTTAATATATAAACGTTATTAATGTATATAAAATGGTACAGCAAATCTTTCCAAACAACGTTAGATAGTATCCAATAGTTGGATACTATTACTGTTTATGCATTTTAAAATCACCTATTTCTGTCACTTTCACAGGTATTTGGATTTTTTGCAACTTTTGCATTTGTAGCTGAATTTGGTATAGAGCTCTTTCTCAAGCGAAAACAAAAACTCATCAGTGAACGCTCTGAAAATCCTGGTAACACTCGGAGGACCACAGAAAATCAGCCATTGAATAAATGAAGCTAACTTCCTGAAATTTTCATTTTTTATCTTTTTTTTCTTTTTTTAATTGGAGCAAACTAAAATTAACTTTCAGTGCACTGTAGGTAACCACTTCTGTTTCTTTGTTCTAATTGATTTTGTACACATTGCTCATCACAAATTTTTATGGATTCTTGGGTCAGGTAATGGCATCTGGAGCATCATGTTCTAAGGAAACTGGTCCTGCCACCTGTTGGGATGACAGGCACTAAAAAACTTTGGGTCTAAACAGAATCACTTCAGGACAGCAGTGTGCTGATTTGATTTTGACAGAGATGGCTAATAAAGGTTAATGTCTGAGGCATAAATTCCTAGCTATAACCTAAAGTTATTTCCTGGTTAAATGGACCAGATGTTTCTGTTGTGAGCTATAAATTAGCACAGCAGAATTTATTTTTGTACTTCCTGGTCAAACTGAATGTAAAAGGGATACTTAACTGGAATATTATGGGAATATTTATGCTTAAATAAGGTGTTTTGGGTTGTTTTTGCTACTCCTATGTCTCAGTTCTGTCTGTGGAGATCAGTTTAATGATATAGTGACGGTAGGGAGCTTATGGGGAAGGTAATGTAAATGGTATATTAAGGAGACAGTTTTGCACTCCATGATTGTCAGAGTTTGGACTTGTATGCCAGAATCTTCTTTCAGGTGGTTTTGAAAGCTGTAACAGTTGCAGGAAGAAACTTGAAAAGCCAGCAGTGAGAGGAGTGAGATAAAGAATAAATATTTACATGAAGCAACCCCAGAAGTAACAATCTGAATATCAACGGGAAAAACCTTACAGCACGTTGGTTCTACCCTGGTAAATATTACTTGCAAGGTTAATACCATATGCAGCTTGTTTATGTATAGATAATACTAAGTTTTGCCAGAATGGTTTTGAACCTTACCATTTTCTGTGTTTATAAACATGGCAGTAGCTTGAGACTCCTTGCTCCTGACTAGCTCAGTTGGCAAACAGGTAAATAAGCACTTGTCCCCTTGATTTGTTTTGCAAGCAACAGTCTGTAGGACTGCAAGGAACAGTACTGATGGGACATGTATCAGACAAGTGATGGATGTGTCAGACCAGATGTTGATGGCTGTAAAAGAAATGAAGTGCTGAAAAAGCATTTTTCTGATGTCTGAGGTAAAAGCAAGACTGCTACGCCTCTCTTAAGAGGAAAGCTTTCAAAAGCAGAGAAAATTACTGTAAGCCAGGAGGTGTTCCAAAATACCACAGCAAATGAGAAAAAGCTGATTATGCAAAAACAGTTCTTGTCTGAGTGCTTAAGACATTTGCCGTGTCTCCCAGGTGATAACTGCATTTCATAGATGTCCCAATTTGGCATGTTCCCGTCCCGTAAAATGTTGTGGCAGCATTGAGAACAAGCCCTCCAGAAACTGTCTGACCTGTATTTGGGAAAGGAAGAGGAAGCTGTTTTAAGACAAATGAGGGTAATAGCAAGTCAAAGTTGGGTTTTTTTTTCCATTGCCACTTTCTGATGAGTGTGAGTTTGTGATGTTCTCTCTCTCTTTGGCCTGAGTCTTAAGCCTAACACTACACTTTGCTTGGAGGATGTAAAATTTTGCTAGGTGGTGTGAAGCACCAAGTTAAAGCCATAGCTTCGTTTTAGAGCTATGCATAGAAGAGATACTTTACTTCATAGAATTTTCTGTGTTGTAAAGAAGAAATGCTCTTTGGACTGGCTTTTTCTTTTTTTTTTTTTTTTGTCTTGTATTTATTTGTGTCTGCACTAAAACTCAATTTCAGTCAGCACTTGCTGTAGCTGTCTCTGATAACTGGGTAGATTAGAGATGTTTGGTTTACAAGCGGTGTTACTGGTGATACAAAATACCCGTACTGAGAAATATCTCCTCTATGATCTGCAGTGTCTTATTCTGGGGGACTGTGCCCATATAAGTAACATTCCAACAGTCTTGTTTTGGTTTCTTTTTATTGCCCAGAGTCCTACTGAATTTTTTTCCACACCAAAATGTCTGTAGTCTTTAAATCTTCATCTGTAATTGGTAGCTGTAAATATAGTGTAAGAGCAACACTGTGCTACTAAGTATTTATTAAGCAATGCAGCACCGTGAATGGACTTTTATCTTGAGGTAATTTTTCCTGTTATTTTTCTCAGCCTGAAGATAAGTTAATTGAGGTCTGGATTTTGGTTGCTTTTTCTATAGGCTTTTCCCCACCTAAGTGATGTGTTACTGATGTCTGTTTCTGGAGATACAGAAAGGGATTTGTAAAGTCATCTCCCGGCCTTGGCAGTTTACCTGGCAATAGTCTGTCACGTACTAGTTAAATACTAGGAGCAAGTCACATAATGGTTATAGGTTTAAGGCAGTTGTCTAAAATGTTGCTTCCAAACCAATTGTTGGCTAACATGCATGATGGTGCTGTTAATCCTTGCACCTTATAAGGTGTTTTTGCTCTGTTTTAAAATAGTTGAGAAGCAGATTTGCATGTGTGTGCCCTGTTTTCTGTTTCTGTGAGGTTATTTTTTTAACTGTTTTATTAGCTTCCTATATCCTAGCTTTCCTTATCACTCCTAGCTCCTCTGCCCTCCCAGTCTACATGGGGGAGAGGCTTCCTTGCTGCAGTGACTGAGCAGTCTTGACATGCCCCTTTGATGCCTCTAGTGTCAGGTGCTGGCTTTAAATGTCTGTTTCTTAATTAGACTGATCCTAGAGAATGCTCTTGGAATTGGATTAAATGTCTGGTTCTGCAGGAGCTCTGTGTGTATGGCTGGATGTCTCTTATCCCTCGTGTTCTGTCAGCAAAGCCCTTTGCTTGTTTCCCAGCCTGCTTCTGATGAAATCAGCCAACCCTATTTAAACCACCTATTTAAATTGCTTCCATTAAGGTGGTTGATTTTCGCTTAAGTGGATTAGGGATTGTTCAGGAGAGTGATGGGAGCTCTGGCAGAAGTGCTGTTAGATACAACTGCCTCAAATTTCTTCTGTTGGCAAAGTGAATGTCTCTGTACATCATAACTAGTAGTAAAGCCTGTTGGAAAGAAGTAGCTGGCCCAGTACATCTATCTGGGGACTGTCTCCTCCATTCTTCACCACAGTGCTTGGCAGTGGTGTTGGAGCCCTGCTCGGACACTCAGCTTTGGTGTTTTCCAGCTGAACCTGTCAAGCTTAAGGCTCTGCAGCCTTAAAGGCTCTGCAGCCACTTCCAAGGCTGTTTTGCAGTGCCTTGAGAATCGGTGGAGAGGATTTTTCAGGATATGTGAGGATTTGTCTGGCTGTGAGCTTCTGCTCTGAAGATCTGTACTGGGCATTGTGTAGATTGTCAATGTTAATTTTTGTGTTTGGTGTTTAGCCCACATTAAAATCACAGTGGTACTGGTGCCCTTTGGTTCTGAGTATGGGAAGGAATTGTGCCTTACTGTCTGTATCCTGTGCTTCAGAAGAGCAGGGAAGGGTCTGTTACAGGTGAGTTCTACCTTTGCACCTTCCAACCTGAAAGAGCAGTGAGCAATCTCATGCAATTCTCAGAGTTCAGCACAAGATGTTTTTGCATAATGGCTGTCCTGGTGATCCTTGTTCAAATTTGTGCAATAAAATACCAAGCTTTCTACAGAGAGGGGAAATTCTTAGTAAATTTTTCAAAGGTTCTATAAAATTGCAGCCAATCAAGATGCTGATAGTGCCTTTAAGATGGAAATTCATATCTTTTTTAATCTATTGCTGTAAACATAAGCAGCTCTTTGGATATTAAATTTTATGCTGGACAGAGCTATATATCACTTTTAATACCATTAAGAATTTAAGTGATTTTTAATTATTATTAAAGCAGGGTGATAATACATTAATTATATATAAAGTAATAATTTTATAGTTTTGTTTCCAGTGTTGCCTTGACTTTCCATCTAAATAATTTTTAAACGCCTAAATATTTTTTATCATTCTAAACCTGTGATCTTTTTTAATGTGTTACATTTTCTTGATCTAAGGAACTTTATAAAATATTTTGTAATCATTTTTTAAAATAAAGGTTTGGTAAATAAATGTTTCTTGTTTTTGCTATGATTTGGTGCTGCTATGCAGTTCTCACAAAGCCAGCCATAGGAAATAACATCATTCTTTGTTCCTGGTTTGGAGGAAAGAGCTTGCATTGTGTTTGCCTGTTCTTGGAGAAGAGGGTCCAACTGGCTGCATATTCTCACTGGAAGTTCCCAGGAAAAAAGATCTGATAAGGTTAGTATTGCTCCTGACCACAGGGCCCAGCCAAAGTAGTTTGCAGTAGCCTTTACATATGATAAATTACTGTGAGGAGCATAATCCAGGTGCTGCTTCCCGTGGTCTTGATTGCCTGGAACTGAAAAAAATAAAGGAGCAGACTTGCTAAAGGAAGGAGCACAACCTAGCAAATGTGTTGAGAGCAAATAATTTATTCTGGTGTAGAAAAATGCAGGTCACTGACTTCCTCGGTTGAGGGAGAGTCGCTTGATCTTTAAAAAATCGTTTGGCTGATTGTCAGCAGTGAGGGTGAGGAAAAGGAATCAAACCTGCATGTTTTGCTTTTTGACAGGGGAGCACTTTTTTGTCTCATAGTCCTAGAGATTACTTATTATCCTGTGGTCATCTTGTACACATTGTTGGCATAGAAACTGGAATGCCACAGTATGCTTTTCTTTATTTTGTAACACGAAAAGATGAAATAATTTTAAAGATGAAATTGTCTCTTTGATGAAGTTGCCAGAGATGAGTGTAATCATAAGGAATCAAAAGGGAAAAAGGTCTCAAATGCTTTAAATTACCTAGATGCAGGAAAACAATCAAGGCAAAATGCTGTATTAGAAAGGTACGTCAGTGGTGGATTTTACACCATAAGAAAATAACTCAGAAATACTAGATTTAATAATTTGGAGCATGACTATACAGTTTAAGTCATGTTATTGCTATAATCGTGACAACCCCCTTCTCAGGAGTGTAATCCAAGTTGGTTCATTGTAAATGACCAGAATGTAGTGCAGCAGGGCAAAATATGGGCTCGTAGCATGCAGCTTTCCTTTGTGAGTGCACAGGCAACACCTGCTCACTCTGTCCATCCGTCCGTCAAGGCACAGATGTGTTTCCTTGCTTTGGGATGGCTTTTCTCCGTACAGCGAGGAGCAGGACCAGCCACCTGCTCTCTCACACAGCTGCTGTCCTGCAGGAGCCAAGCAAGGGTCACTGCTTGGCTGGGCTTTGGGTGTGGCTGTCCCTTGGATTCGGAATGGCTATTCTTAGCCTGTGCAAGGAAGCACAGGGAAGAGCAGAAATGTATTTTGCATTGTTGCTGCCGCCTGCACAGGAACCTGCCGAGAAGCTGCAGGAGGGAAGGTTGTCCACAAGAGGGCAAAGATGATCCTTTGGTCTGAAGGACTCCATCCTCTTCCCACCTGTATTTCCAGTGAGATTGAAGCCCCCGTGTCCCTCTGTTGCTAGTCTGGCTATAAATTGAACTATGCGTTTTAGGGATATTCTTTCCATTAATTTTCTTATTTCTCAATATGTAGCTTGAAGGATTTTTGGCAATATAATCTCATCAGTATTGTCTCAAGGAGATACTTTGCCTGAGCAGTTTGAAAGGGTTTTACTCGCATTATTTGTGTTTTGTAACCTGCCAATAAATGTTTTTAAAAATTCAAGTCGAGCTTCAGCAGCATGACAACACCTGCACTTAAAACACTGCACTGCAGTCTTGGAGAACTTTGTGGTCTGTACTATGCTCTGGTTTTCAATGAAAGGTCTGTGGATCACAGGCGGGAGAGGAATGGAGTGAGGCGTACCTGTGCATTTCCTGGACTCTTGAGAAGTTAAATGAGGGAAGCTTGTTATCCAAAAATGCAAATTGTGCATGCTTGGAAAAAATCAAGGCCCATAAACAGAAATGTTGGCAACCATAGCTGTAAAGCATGCCAGACGGGACTTCTTGCAATTCCAGTCCTCTCCAGGCATCCCAGTGAAACTTGCTTTGACCAGCCCACGTGCCCTGATCACTTGTTTGTTTCTTATGACCTATTATCTCTTGGCTGAATTATTGGTGGGAAAATAAACCAGACTCGGCTGTTTTGAAGTTGGCAAGTCCTGAGGTGAGAGTCAGGCTTCATGAGGAGGTGACAGCACAAGCACATTCTTCTGCAGCATGATGTATATGCAGCCAGATGGGGACAGCAAATCCCCAGTCAGGTATGCACTGCTAGATGTGCTGCACAGAGGCAGGCACTACTCTGCAGTGCTAAGCTTGGGGTACGTGTCAGAGCTCTCTTTTCAGTTCTCACTTGGACTTACAGGAAGCATAACATGGTAAGACAAAAAGGATGACAAGTTTTCTGTTACCATATGCTCTACCCTTACTTAGAGAATGAAGCAACGTTGCTCAAAATAATGCAAGTCTGTCTGCACTACAGCCCTCCTTTTAACTACTTCCTTTGCACCAGCTGTTCCTCTCCCAGAAATATCAGTGCAGACACGGTTCTGAAATCCCTGCTCATGCTGAGCTCTAGGTGAGGAAAGACAGTTACTTAATTTTCTGTCGTCTCTGCACTCTACTAACCAAAGGTGTGGAGCTGCTATCCTGATGTGAGCATCAAGGGGCACAGACTCATCACTCCTATTTTCATTAACATCCATTTTCAGTGTCCTTTGCCTGCCTGCTCAGTTTCAAATGCTTCAGAGCACTGGGTTTTGATACTCACATTCCTAAAGTCCTGCTTCCCATTCCTG